TCCCGAGCGCTCGCTTGGGCCACACATTCTGGACACGGAAGAACTGGAAGAGCTTTTCCTGGCCAACTCCCCAGAATTACTACCACACAATGAGGAGTCTGGCGAGACCAAGCGTAAAACCACAATTGGTCTGGTCGGTTACCCTAACGTGGGTAAGTCCAGTACCATCAACGCCCTTCTCGGTGCGAAGAAGGTGTCTGTCTCTGCCACACCCGGTAAGACCAAGCACTTCCAGACTCTCTACCTCTCCCCCGAGATTATGCTTTGCGATTGTCCCGGTCTCGTGTTCCCCAACTTCGCCACCACCAAGGCCGAGTTGGTCGTCAACGGTGTGCTGCCCATCGATCAGCAGCGTGAGTTCACCGGTCCCGCCGGTATTGTCGCCAGGCGTATCCCCAAGCACTTCATTGAGCAAGTGTACGGTGTGAAGCTCAGAATGCGTCCCGTCGAAGAAGGCGGCACTGGCATCCCCACTGCCAGCGAGATTCTGCGTGCCTATGCTCGCGCCCGTGGTTTCTCCACTCAGGGTATCGGTCAGCCCGACGAGTCTCGTGCTGCACGCTACGTTCTGAAGGATTACGTCAACGGCAAGCTTCTCTGGGTCAACCCTCCCCCAGTCCCCGTGGACGAAACTCCAATCGACACCGAAGAGTTCAACAGGGACCTATACGACCTCGACCATCTTCCCGAGAGACGCCGAGCTCAGCTCACACAAGCCAAGATTGGAAAACACTCCGCAGTAGCAGAGGTCCCTGAAGAGTCCGTCGGCGACGTCGACTTGGAGAACCTTTCTGAGGTAGCCAAGATCTCCGTCGAGCCGGAGCTTGGCCGCACCTCCCGCAACCTTGATACAGGCTTTTTCGGCTCAGAAACCGGCCCTTCTGCCGGCCGTCTGACCCTCCCCTTCCAGTCTCGGTACACGCAACAGGGCCAGGAGATGCGCAAGGCACCAACCGGCCGCAAGGAGCGCATGATGGTTGCTCTTGAGCGTGGCGTGGATGTCTCTGAGGTGAAGGGCAACAACGGCTCGAAGAAGCACTTCAAGGCGAACAAGCGTCTGGCCAAGGGCAAGCGTACCAACCCTGAGGATGACGACTACTAAAAAGTGACTTTTCTTTATATTTTCCTTTGTTGCATTGTTGCCTGCGCTCGCGGGCGAGTCGGGGGGTGGGGTGGGATCATACCGCTCTCCCTCTGCTCTATGAGATATCATTCTTGGGCTCATGGGTCTTGGGGTGAATGAATTGATAAATGGTCCTACATATGGGATTTTCATGTCATGTCGGGATTGAATGTTTATGTCCATGTTCATGCTCATGTTTTGTTAAGGAATCATATTTTTGGCGTTTGGTTTTTTTTTACGAGTTGAATAACGATTTATACCAGTCATTCATTCACTTGATTCTATATCACTTCTTTTCTGCCGTAAGACTTTAATACCGAAGGCCAAGTAAAAACGGAGTACTGTTCATGCATTCTTATTTAGCCAAACCAAGCAGCAGACTATATCGTAAACTCTAGATAATCTCCCCACCATCTCAAAGATGGCTCTTAGGTTTGAACCCAGAAGCAGCAAGCAAGCGATCAGCCTCCTCACGCTGCCAGTTCAACTTAGCAGTAACCGCATCCTTGCGAGACTTATTTTCACGCTTACCCAGCTGCTGCAAGTGAACCTCATCAGGACCATCGGCAATACGCAGAGTACGAATCCCAGCCCACAAATACGCAAGCGGAGTATCCTGACAAACACCAGCAGCACCATAAGCCTGAACAGCACGATCAATGATAGTAAGCGCCGTCTGGGGAACCAGAACCTTAGCCTGGGCGATCTCCTTCAGGGCGCTCTTAGCATCACCCTGATCGATCTTGATAGCAGCGTTCAAGACAACGAACCGGGCGGCATCGACCTCAATCCGCGACTTGGCAATCCACTCAAGGATAACCCCGTGCGCAACTAAAGGCTTGCCGAAGGTCATTTTGCGCTCGTCGTTGACGCGGGCAATCAACCACTCGAGGGCGCGCTCGGCCGCTCCAATCGCCCGCATGGCGTGGTGGATGCGACCGGGTCCGAGGCGGCCTTGGATGATCTCGAAGCCGCGGCCTTCGCCGAGGACCATGTTTGCTGCGGGGACGCGCACGTCCTTGAATGTGATGTGGCCGTGGCCGTGGGGCGCATCGTCATATCCGTATACTGTCAACATGCGGTGTACTGTTATGCCTGGGAGTCCGGCTGGGACGAGTATGACGGATTGCTGCTTGTAAGTGTCTGAGTTTGTGGGGTCGGTCTTGCCCATTACCAGGTAAACTGCGCAGCGGGGATCGCCAGCGCCGGAGGACCACCATTTCTATAAATTGGTTGTTAAGAGGTTGTTTATAATAAGAGGTGGTTTTGTGGGGATGGGATGGGAGAGGTACATACCGAGCCATTCAGGACGTACTCGTTGCCCTCACGGCGGATGTCAAGTTCAATATTTGTCGCATCGCTAGATGCGACATCTGGCTCGGTCATGAGGAAAGCAGAGCGGATCTTTCCCTCCAGTAAGGGTGCAAGCCATTGCTTCTTTTGTGCGTCATTGCCGTACTTGGCGAATACCTCCATGTTGCCGGTATCTGGGGCGGCATTGTTGGTGGCCTGGTGATTAAAAAACGGTGGTCAGCGATCAAGAAAATCAATTTGCAAGACCTCTCCAGCGAGTAAAGTACTGCGCCAGATGAAGAATATAATAACCCATACCTCCGAGGCAACCTTGCTCTTGCCGAGCAACTCGGCCATCAATCCATATTCCAAGTTTGAGAATCCAGCACCCTGAGAGAAGTGGTTCTTGGGAAGGAACATGTTCCAGAGACCGATCTTCTTAGCCTTCTCCTTCAAACCTTCCAAGACGGCGGGGGTGGTGGTCCATCGCTTCTCGCCTTCACCGAGCTGGGCTGCGAAGACGGTATCGGCGGGGATGCAGTCTTTTTCAACGAATTCCTCGACCTGGGAGGCATGTTAGCATTGGATATCAAAATACCCGAACGAGGAGGTTCTTGGTGGTTCCTGTCCTGGGGTAAGTAAGGTATTGGGAATGAGTTACCAAGTCAAGGGTCCGTTTGGCCTGTTCACTAACGAACGGCTGGGCAATGGGTGGAATACGGGAAGAAGCGGACATTTTGAAAGTGAATAATTAATACAAGACTATCAGAATATCCGAATATACGGGGAATAGCAGCGAATATAAAGAGAAGAGGTCAGCCCATCGCAGAATTGCGGAGAAGGTGGAGAAGCCGACGGATTTTGGCCAAGTGCCTCGGCTCCCGAGGTCAACGACTAACCGGAGACTTTGACTTGGACAATGTCAGGTTGGTTTTCAACTGATTCGGCCATATCTCCGATATTTTTACAGTTATAGAAACTAACTAACTAGTTGGTTAGTTACATGTATATATAAGACCAACATTATTGCCAATACTCAATCATTGTTGGATATCAACTTTATATACAAGTGACGACTAGTTAGATCTAGCTAAAAGCTGGTCAAGCCAAGATATTACAAGACAAAACAAAGACAATTCAAGTCATAGTCAACTAGAGAAATAAAAAGGGGGCAAACCAAAACAAATGGCTAGAATGACAGCTCCTAGTATCTCCGCAAAATGGTAATCATCCAGACATACCGAGGTCTGTATATAGGAAGTTGACTGAGCCCGGAGGAATAGTACACTACAACATATAACTAAATAGCTATATCAAAATATAAAAGCCCTAATCAAAGAAAAGGTTTGATTGCATGGATTCCAAAGTGCTCCATGAGATATCCCAATTACAATTCCATCCATCCCATACCCCGTACACACAAAAAAAGCAAAAAACAAAGGCATTGCAGGTCATCACAAAAAATAGAAGAAGAATTCCAACTCAAGACCTGATCATATCCAAGATCTCAAATCTGCCTTTCCTCAATGCATCCGACACAGCGACCGGCGCCGAGTAAAAGAGATTGAAGGAAAGACCATAGAACCAGAGTCTGAGAAGCGAAAAAAAAAAAAGAATAGAATAGAAGATAAAAGACCAAAACATCTTCAAAAGACCTGGATCTTTTTCTTTCAGTTTTCAGTCCGGCCCTGCTCGGCGGAGGATTGCTCGTAGCTCTTCTTGCCGAGCTTAGCGAACAGCGACTGGGGCTTGCCGGCACTGCAGTTTATTAGCTTGGAGGTCCAAAGTGTATCAGATCCAAGGAAAGAACACATACTTCTTGAACCGCTTGCCCTTGATGTCGCTCAACTTCTTTGTGCAGGGACTCATGAGTTCGTCGGAAGGGGAGACGTAGGAGGTTGGTTGTCTGTTATGATAGGTTAGTTTCTTGTCTTATAACAGAAAAGATAGAAGATAGAAGATTTGAACAATACTCACTCCTCACTTGTCACTTTGCCTTGCAATACCTGGCGATGGTACTCCATTGATGAGATGTCCGAACCCTTCAGGTCGGTCTTGTCGGCGCTGGCCAGGTGGGTATTGGTTGAGCGGTCGGCCAGAGGCTGAGCTTGTGTGGTTGCGTCCATTTTGGTAGATGTGTATGAATTTGAAGGTTTGAAGAGATGTTGTAGAGTGTGTAGTAGTGTGTAGTAGTGTGTAGTAGGTGTAGTGTATAATGGAAGTTAACAAAAACAAATCGGATAAGATGAAAAACGTGTGTGTGTTGCGGCTGAGATTGTTGGCTGGGCAACTGACTATGACGCCACAACATATTCAAGTTAGGACTTAGTTATTTAGTATAACTAACTATTCAAGGAATGTAAATAATTCTAATCACAGTAATAGCAGTAATAACAGTAATAACAATAGCAAACAAAATAATAAACACAGAATTAAACTAGTGGGAATCATGTGGTCGTCCAAGCGTACACGCAATAGGGTACATAGTACAGTGTACAGATGCAAAAGCGCTAGAAAGATCAGAATGCAAGGTGAGTCATAAAGTAATACATGGCTAAATCCATTATAGCCGTTAAAGGGAGGATCACAGCTCAAGCGACCGTGGATTATCGATACTCAGCTCATCACCAGCCGGTGTAGTCATATCCAGGTCAACAGGGCGCCCATTCAATACAGGCGGCGTACTCTGAGACCGGGGTTGTGGTGTTGCCAGAGTAGGCATGGACATAGACTCAGGAGAGACAGGTTCTTCGATCTTGTCTGTCTCCTCAACATCTCCTTCTGTGGGAGAAGAGGATGTGGGAGTCGGAGGGGAATACGCCGTGGTCGGACTAGCAGCGCTATCTTGGTCGGACGAATCAGAGAGATTTCTGCGATGACCACTGTTCTCACGGTATGAGGACGACGTTGGGCGTGTCGATCCCGGGCTAGCCGACGGGGAGGCAAAATTTGGAGATGAAGACCGCAGACTGTAAGACCGCGCGACCATTCTTTGAACAGCGGGGAATTCCATATAGTTGTTTCCTGACCCTCGTGAGAACAGCGCAAGGGCAAAGCAGCAGAGGACCATGATGCTCTGGATCACGGTGACTCTCTTTTGGAAAACTAGTTCGTCTGCAAGCACACCGAGCTGTCCGCTGAGGGAATGAACTTCCTGGTGGTACTGCATGCGCTGGTGCTCAAATTCGAGAGCAACAGACTTCCAGACATGATCGTACTGCTCACGGAATTCTCTTAATTCATTGAGAACAGTTACGTTGAGATTTTCCAGGAAGGTAGATGTCTTTGCTAGCTGCCGTTTCTCAACCTTGTTGAACGCATCGCGCAAGATGCGAGACTGTTCCTCGATGTAGAGAAGAGACAGCGTAGAGTTCGACTCAAGCATCTGGAGCCGCTTGTGGACAGATTTAAAGAAGGACTCTTGGGTCGTGGGGTTTGCAGATGGCGGTTGAGTATTTGTAGGTCTCGTTGACTCTGGGGGAGGAATGCTCTGCTCCTCTTTTGCTTTGGTGGTGACTTTCCCTATGCTCTCGGATGTAGCGTTCTCCTGAGTAGCCTCCGAAGATACGCTTGAGGCATCCGGGGCAGTCACAATATTTTTGGCAGGCTCGCCCTGCTTTCGGGTATCCTCACCTTTTGGGGGGACAGGTGATCCGACATTGGTCGCGGAGGGACTGCCTCCAACTGCAGCAGTGGAGTTCTGTTTCGGTGGTGGATTGCTCTGATCCGTTGTGGCTGACGTCGATGGAGTCGTGACAGGCGGCCCATCATTGATGCCGCATATATCTCTATCATTGTGTTTCGCAAAAGGCGACACAGCCTCTGATACGGGGTTCGGGCAAATCTCATCCACTGTAAGGCTAGATTCCACCTCAGGAATGAATTTCTCGACTGGCACCTCGACTGGTACCTCGACAGGCTTGGTTTCCAGGTCTTGGAGAAGCTGATTAGCTGCACTGGCCTCTAACTCCTCAACTTCAGCGCGGTCAGAGCTCTCGCCATGCTTGTACTCTTCCATCATGGTGGTACCATGCACCCGAATTAAGCTGATAGGGCAGAAGAACTCATGCCCATAGTGCGTAAGGAATTCAACTCGAAGGTATCGAGCCCAAATAAGCGAGTTCTCTACTGCGAAAGCTTGCACCTCACGAGTGTTGCGTGCCTCATAGACCCCAAGTTCTTTCCACTGGTCCGGTTTCGCGGGATACCGATCCGAGACACTAACCCGGAATGTGTGGAAGATAGAGCTGAAGAACTCATAGTTTGCAAGGACAACCGTATCAACCAGAATATCATCGCACAGTTCCAAGATAAGAAATTTGTTCTGAGCGCGACACTCATTGAGCATATAGCTATCCTTATTCTCAATCAGCACAGAAGAGGAGCCCTTGCACTCGGGATTCGTCTTCAGCACCGTAGCCGCGCAGTCAAAGGAAGCATAGTTGAACCTCTCCTTGCAAGTGGTACCAGCATCCTTACGGCGTAACGCATCTCTTTGGAGCGCACCCTGCCCGTGTACACCCACTGCGTCTCTTCCACCCGCGTTCTCCGCCTGCCCAGCCTCGCGCGACGGGATATGTGAGCCCCAGGCGGTAGGACTGGCCTCGGGCGTCTCAGCGCCGAACCCACCAAAGTCCAACTCGATCTCAGAATCGTCGCCCAGCGAATCCAAAGCATTGTTGATTCCTGTCGGCTGTCGACGGTCTTCCTTTCCAGCTGCCGCGGCACGTCTGTTCCCTCCGACATTCTCGGCTGATTGTCCGACCTTCGCTAGGTTCTGTTTCTTCCAGTCCTCAAATGAGAGGAAACTGGCACCATCTAATAACGAGTCTGTATCTTGATCCTGTTCTGGGTTTTCCTCTGGGATCGTTCTCGCCGTCTCTTCTGGCGCCCCGTTTGAGACAGCAAGTGGATTAACGACCGGATCGGGTGCTGCCGAAGCAAGGTACATATCGCGACCCGGTCCCCAGCGCGTCTCTAGACACGGTGGGAGGTGGAAGAGCTCCCCCTCCGTCTGCCAGGTACTCTTCGCCGGACATGTTGTCACTGGTGTCGTGGGGAGATCACGCTGCTGGTGTAGCTCGGCGGTCGCATTGCAGAGTGCGTTGTGGCAGAGAGCCAAGAGGACCGAGGCGCGGTATATCCAGGAAGTCAATGGCCGATTCGCGGTCAACATACTGTCGGTTTGATGATTAGATAGTCGCACTTGTATAGCTTCCTCGGTGAGTTCAAGCTATGAGGTCGGCCTGCGTGCCATGCACATCGTGGCTGGGAAAGAGCAATCGATGTGGGGGATTTGTATTTCACTCTTAGTGCGAGAGAGGGCGATTAAGCAAAGCCGAGCTTGGCGACAAATGGCGACAAATGGCGGTCTCCAACAAGAAATGGATCAAAGTGGAACAAATGGCAGGTCCAAGTGGACCAGTGGCATCTCGGCACCAAGTTGACTCTGACCGCCTTTCAAACGGGCTTCAGGGTAGATCAATGAGACTACACACTACAGACTAGTCCATCTAAAGAATTTACAGAGAACCCAATTCTTCGCGGATAATGATCAATTTTCCCTATTGGACTGTCTCATATAACTAGTTACAGTATAACACAATCGAGAGAAAACGGCCGCGATTGTTTCACCAAGTCCTCCTACCAGGATCGACTTCACCGCAACTCATTCCACCTTTTCCCTGAAGAATTGAAGCCAACCGTGTCGTTCGTACGGTATGGAAAGTCTCCTGTCAGAATCAAATATCCACCAGCGCATTCCGAGCCAGCCTTCTAAGCTTTTTGTGGTTTTTCGTATTCGTCGTCTCCGCCAGTGTCCCTGACCCTTAGTCTGATATTGTACAGAAAGGAGAAGAAAAAAAAAACAGTTTGGACGACCAGGGAGCGTGATGCAATGCACGTGGCAATGCACTGTTGAGGACGGACGGAAACGGACGAAACACTCAATCCGAGAACAAAGAGACACAAGACAAGAAATCGGAACATTAATTTATCGTCGGTAATTTTGAACTTTTTTTTCCCAGCTGAATCAAAACGTGCAAGCAGACATTAACATGAGAGGGGATAGTATAGGGTAAGGGTAGAGCGAAGTGCTAGCGAATATCAAGCACCCTAGAAGTGAGCATCATGCCACCCACCCACGAGATCCAGATCATCATCAATGCTTCCATTGTCATGAGGAAGGAAGCTGTTAGGGACATTGCTGCGCCAATCCTGTCGTTCAAGTAAATGGCGGCGGCGAGCGTCCACAGGCGATGGGGGCTTGGATTTGGTCTGGTATCCACAAGTGCCTCGACCCCAATCGTGTCGCCGAGCATTGACAGCAACGCTCTTGGGGCCAAACACCTCACGCGACTTGCGAGGCTTGTACTTGCGGGGTTCGTCCTCGGGTTTGTACTTGCGTCGCACATCACCAAGCATCGACCACTTATCGGCGCTAGACGGCTCTTCAACAGGGTTCCGGAAGGGGCGAGGCGTGCTACTTGACGCACTGGAGTCGCTGTCTTCGTCCAGGGAAAGATCCCCAAGCACGTTGGGTTCCATCTTCGGATCCTCATCTGGCCCTGGAGAGCCTTGGTTAAGTGAAGCGGAGTCCGGCTCGCGCAAACTTGGGAGGGCGGCTCCCTGGCTCTCCTGGCTCCAGCTGCGAGAGTTCTGCTCCCGTCGTTGGGCCACAGCAAGATCTTCATTCTCAGACTCCTCCTCCTCGTCGTCCCACATGTCGCACCAGCTCTTTGAGATCTTGTCGGCACCTTTGTTACCAAAGACCATCGACAAAGAAGGGAGGGGCTTTGTTGCATGAGATGGCAGTGATCCAGTGATGGAAACAGGATCAGAGCGGGGAAGAGACGGCACCTCACGCTTGCGAAGGTTGAGCATCACAAAGGACTCACTGAGCTGAGAGTCCAAAACAGAAGCCACTGATGGAGTATCCATGCGGGATGAGAACCATGAGGTTCCAGCAGCTTCGGAGGCCGGGAACAGATCCTCGGTATAGCTCTCGTTGTCCGGAATGGCGGATAGTTGTCGGATAGCCTGGGGAGGGCTCGACTGGAGCGCCTTTGCCCATGGGAACGAATCTCCCTGGTTGACATGGGGGCTCTGGAGGGATGGGGTGCGAAGGGGTTCGCGGTTGGCGCTGGCAGCAACCACCTCGCGGTCTTCGGTGCAAAACTCATCGAGAGATTCGTCATCGGTAGTGAAAGAGATCGCGCGGATGATGCACTCACGCACCTCCGACAAAGACCTCTTGGATGGATCAATGGTCAAGGCATGGGTCAGGATCTCGTAGGTGTCCTGGGACATATTGGGGAAGATGTCGAAGAGCGACTGGCGATCGCGCACATAATCCGCAAAGAGTACATCGGATTCAGTCGGGGTGACGAAGGGATTACGAGCAAACAAAATGTTCAACAGACATATACCCACAGACCAGATGTCGGCCTTGGCGGGGGAGTATCCTGTCATAGTCGGATCATATTGCTCGGGGGCCATGTAGCGGTCGCTGCCCACACACGCCTCGTAACACCAGGACTCTTGCGTAGCAAGACCAAAGTCGCCTAACTTCATGCAGCCATCCTGTGTCAGGAAGATATTCTCCGGCTTGATGTCACGGTGATACAAGCCTTTGGCATGCATAAAGTCAACGGCACTAATCAGCTGCAGCATGAAATCCCGAACGTGTTCGGTCTCCAATGGACCACGGTTAAGGCGGATGGCCTCGTATAGATCCCCATTGGCACAGTACTCCAAAACAAGATATTTGTGAGTCTCGGTGTCGAATGTTTGAATCATGTTGACCAGGTTCGGATGAAAACCAAACCGTCGGTGACACTCGAGTTCTTCGGAGCGATCTTCAGAGCGATCTTCAGAGGAATTCGTTGAGGCCTTGATTAGACGTTTGATAGCAACGTCTTGGCCCGTCTGGGTATCTGTAGCAAGGAATACCATTCCAAAAGACCCATGGTTAAGAGGTGCGACAGTCTCAAACCGACCGCCCAAAAGTTGGCCCTCAACGAATTCTTCCTTCAAGCACTCCATGGTCGACATGTTGGCCTGATGATCCCAAAAAGAAAGGACGAATGCAGAGATGAGATGAAATGGGGGAACGGGCTGATATAATGCTCCAACAAAGAGATGAAGTGAAAACAAGTCTATGAGCCGCTCAAAAGAACACTTAAGCGTGTCAAGAATGCGTCGAAGTATGACAATCAAAAAGCAACCAGGCTAATGGATATTAAACAAACAACGAAGAGAAGTATCCGGCGCAGGATCCCAAGGTGAATAGGAAAAAAGAGCCGGGGGAAGTCAGGATATTGAGATGAAGGGAATCCTAACGGGGTCGAAATGTCATATAAAAAATGTACTGATGAAAGTTGATGGACAGATGAAAAGAGGAGAGAATGATGCCGCAACGGCCGTAGTGGAATGGACCCGGGAAGGGTTGTTGACGCTAAGGAAATGGGTAAAGACCGTTATGTGCTCATTTGTATATCGTTTTTCGTTGGTTAACGGGAAGGGGTCCCAGGTGGACGACACGAATGTGTCAAAATGTGATGAACAAGTGTTTGGAAGTCGGCCTGATACCGGACGAATCGAAGAGAGTCGAGATAAAGCGCTGCGTAATATCGTAATTGGGAAAAGTCAAAGATGTATAGGAAAAAAAAAAACGAGAAAGAATCCTATGAACACCGGGTTCAAGGTTGGAGGGCCGTGACTCAAGTTGAAGATAATTGGGGATTAGTGAGTCATGAGGCCAGGTTGTATTGTTGGGCAAATTGATTGGGCGAATTGAGGGATCCGGTAGAGCACCCTTCTAATCCAAGTTGGAAAAGCAGAGGTACTCGATGCCAGGTTGCCCCTGAGGTATGAAACTCCGGAAGTGCTCTCACGATAAGGCTCGACCGAAGAAACGTATGATTGCCCACGACGCAGGGAACACCTTCGTGTGGATTGAAGTGACAAAGGCTGGAGGTATGGATAACACAATGGCAATCCAACAGACCGGAATTGGGACCCTTTTATCAAGTTGATGGAAGTGAGTCACCCGAGCTCAGGGTGGACCCGGCAGACCGAGGAAAAGGGGTTTGGGACGGAGAGGCGAGAGAAATACTCTTCTGTCAAAGGTAGACCAGGATCAAGACCTTCGAGTTTGAAGTTGTCGATAAAGAGTACAGGCCGTCCAGGGTTGGTGGTGTCTTGATATATTGGCAAGCAGACACGGGGATCTTGGTAACCTTGGGAGCGTTGGAAGTAAGATGAAGGTAACGGGTAGGTGATGGGCTGAGAGAGAATTTGGAAAGGGTAGGAAGGCGGGAAGGAGAGATGGAATGTAGGAGAGCGAAAGAGAAGATGATTAGGGAACGAAGGAAGATGGATGTTGATGGTATAAGGGGAGAGAGAGAGAAGGAGCCAGGGAGAGAGGTGTTGTAAAGGCGTGAGGGGAATTGGAGAGGCAAAATGATTGGCCATACTGTAAAATACCGTAAGATACAAGTCTTCCCTCGTGGGCGGTTCATCCGTGTGATCTACATTGTCCACCTAATTCCATTCAATTTGACTGGCACCCGAAGGTCCTTGGCCCGTTTTCGTCTCCCGGGGAAACTGTAACGTATGGAATGAATACCGGTAATGACGAAGGAGTCATCATCCAGGCTCTCCAAGTTTCATGAACCTTCCAGGCATTCCTTATCCTTGGGTAAGACGTCAACCGTCTACGTGATCTCAATTATCATCAAATGTTGAAATGTTGAAAATCTGTATCTACAATAGCGGCAATAACACTTAAATTCCATTGTTGGTTGCCATTTCCCAAGAGGTTTGGCATCATTTACCCATGAGTTCCTATCTTTCAGATTTCAGATTTCAGACTTTCAGACTTCGAACATCCCAAACTTTCGAGATTCTGGTTCAGAGACAGGCGCCAGTCACAATGACGGTTGACACCAGCAGGGGCAGGTCCTTTCTGGAGTTTCGTCGGCCGAGGGCGGATCAGGGTGGCGCACTAATCCCAATGCGTATAATTGCGCAGCCAATTCTGGGGGAGACTAACCAATCAGAATAGATTATTTGGCCACTATTTACAGGCTGCATGACGCGATAGAGTGGGATGGCGTGATCTCTTCTGATTGGTTCACCCCGGACACTTAACTGCTGTTTCCAAGTTGGAATGTT